GGGGCGGAGCCGGGCCGGCGACGCGCGTGCGCAGTGCGGCGCGACTGCAGCGGAGAGGCGGGCTCCCGAGGTTGCCCCTTCCCTGCCCTGGGCTGTGGGCTCTGAGCTTGGGGCTTGAATCAAGTCATTTGCACCCAAAGAGTGTAGTGTCTGCATCGCTCAGCCCTGCACGCTCCGCAGCCTCCTCTGCAAAGAACTGAATCCTCTTCCCTTTGGGTCTAGTAGAACATGCATGGGCGCCTGTCCTGTCCTGGGTCCTGCCTGCTGAAGGTATATTTGGTGCTTACCCTCAAGGAGCTTGAAGTTCTCCAGCAAGTAAGTGAAACCGTTGACAAGCCTCAGTCATCATAGCTTCCTGGATCGTCCTAGTGAAGGAGATGGGCCCGCAGCCCTAGATTTGGATACAGCTTGCTGCTGGGCCTGAGATATGGAAGCGCGGACTCAAGACATTTCTAAAGCTGAGAAGATTGTATTTGACTTAATAAGGCCTCATCTAGTGCACGTTGTGACAGTCCGAGCAGGGACATGATTGATGGGAGAACAGTAAGCAGATGCTACGAGCTTTTAGTGCGGGAGTTTGCACTTACCTCCTGCGTTCCAATCATGTAAGCAGGTAAACGACCCCCTTTCACTGAGGTGCGCACCTACAGTCTACTGGACAAGAGACTGCCCCAAATACTCCCACTCTAAGGGAGGAAGGGAATCATGGCCAGGCCCCTCCCTCCCGCAATCAGTGACTCCCCCGATGCCGCTCCCCACAAAATAAAACTGCCTCCACTCCAGCAAGAACAGAAAGTAACAAGGGGGCAGTGTCGCTGTGAAGTACAGATCCTCCGTGGACAAGAGGCAGACGTTCTCTTCAAAGCTGTAGAAAGGAAAGAAAGCCAAGACTGGTTTCCTGTTCCTTCCCCTGGGCGGTGGAGGTCAGCTCCAAGACATCGGTAGTAAGCTGGGAGAAGATGCAGGGCTTTTGCAAAATCTAATGGGTGAATGAAGTTTAGGAAGAGCAGGCAGTCACAATACCAACTGCTGGGCAGGCCCCCAGTCCCTGAAAGAGTAGATGCTGGACATAGAAAATGTGGGCAGAGAGCAAGTCGGTGAGGCAATGCCTTTGACCACACCCTGATAAGGAAGCTTCTCCTGTTTTCTCTCTCCCTCTTCCTCCTGTTAAGCTAAAGGAAAAACAAATGGGTCCAGAGTTCAAAGTCTCCCTCAAGAGTAGGCTAATGATGAGAAGAACGTTGAGAGCCTATCCTGGTCATGCCTGAGAACCCCTAGGGACACAAGGAACCACACTGAGGAAAATCAGTTATGTATTGGAGAACCAGAAGTCCAAGGGTTAGAGAATTTTTCAGCTCAAAGCATTGCATCCCCCTTGTCATTCCTACCCAGATATCACAGTCTCATCTTCTTCAGTCACATGGAATTGACAGAAGGCTGCCTTTGGGTTGTCTGGAAGCTTCTCTGGAATTAGTTCCTATAGGCCTGTTCCCTAGCCTGTCAGAACCTTGGTTTCTCATGTAGAATTCAGTCAACATTGGGACTGCTCCCACAGGCAACTATCAGTGTTTAACTAGACAGAGTCTTGCCCAGTGCTTCTCAAATCTGCGACTCTGGCCCTCCCCTGCTTTGGAGTTGCACATCGGGTATCCTGAATATCAGATATTTACCTCATGATCCATAACAGTAACAAAATTGCAGTTGTGAAGAAACAGCAAAACAATTTTATGGTTTCGGGGTCACCATGGCACGAGGAACTGTATTAAAAGGTCACAGCATTAGGAAGCGCTGGTCTAGACTATCACAGCCCCTGGCAGATGAGAAGGGTCTGAAAAGTCTCGCAATTCTCAGAGGTTCCAGTGTGGTGAGATAAAGCCTTTTTGCAAGGGGTTTGGAGATGGGGTATCTGCAGTCTGGGAAAAGGGCCAGCCAAGGTACAGACTGGGTTTCATGAGATCACGAAAGTTCAAGTGTTGCTCCTCCAGAGTCTCTTGACGGGGAGGCAGGGGGTGAGTTAATCAGAAATTCTAAGCTGCACACTCTGTTCCTGCCACTCACGACTTCTTTCTCTCCATCTTCCTCATCCTCTAGAATAATTTGCCCGAGATCCCTTCCAATGTGGATTGAATTGTGCTCTGCAGAAAGATTCTGAAGTCCTCTGTCATGGTTCCTGTGAACGGGGCCTTATTGGGAAAAGGTCTTTATGCATGAAACTATATTATTAAAATGAAGTCATTAGGGTGGGTCCTTGCCCAGTATGGCAAGTGTCCTTGGAAGAAGAGGACAAAAGAAACCGAGAGTCCAGGAAAGGCATAGATACACCGAAGACAACATGGAAAACGGGCAGAAACTGGGATTATGTTTGCATTGTCAATCAAAACCAGCAGGAGTGGTCAGATGCTGCAAGAGCTAAGAAAGGATCCACTTCTCTTGAAAGCTTTGGAGGGAACATGACCCTGCAGACAGCTTGACCCATCAGACTTATTTGTTTTGTTTGAGACAAAGTGTCTATGTACCCCTAGCTAGCATGGAATCCAGTGTGTAGACCAGGCTGGCTTCCAACTCAGGTGAACCTCACATGCTGGGATTAGAGATGAATGCCACCACACCCTCCTACTTCTAACTTCCAGAAATGCTAAACAAATCTACGTCACAGTCTTCAGAAACCACCTCCCTCCTTGTCGTAATTGCCAGCTGTAGGAGAGGCGTGACTGTACCAGTCTTTGGATGATGGGAGCTGAAAGGCTCAGCCAGAAGGGTTGGCTTTCCCTCAGGGGACAGTCACTTTGGACAGGGTTGTGGTGGCACAAACCTGTACAGTAATGCTTTCGCCAAAGGGAAATGAAACTGGGCAGTCAAATTGGGAAGAATGCAAAGCGGAAGAAGGGATGACGGCGGGACAGTGGAAGGCTCCCAGGAATGGTAGTCTGGTGCTGTGTAGATGAAAAGAGCTACCGGCTGCAGTGGGAGCATGCACAAAGACCTAAAGGAGGGCAGGAGTTGGGGATGCTTGGGGAAGAAAGGAAGAGCAGCGGGGGAATTGGATCTCCCCGGGCACTTGAAAGTGGCGCCTTCAGGTGTCGTTCTTTTCAAACTCTGCCAAGAACAGGTGGACCAAAGGAGGGAATCCATGAGCCTTTGCGTCCTATCAACCTCGCCATAGCTCTGTTCTTTACTACACACCACACCAGTCGGTTATATTTTCTCTAGTAGCGTCTAGCACTCCCAAATACTATATGACTACTTCCCGGTGAGTGCCCCTTGGAAAAGAGATGGTCTCTTGCACAGAGGTCAGAGTGTTCACACCAACGTTCCCATGCCCACTACAAATCTCAGGCACTTTAAGACAGTATAAACTGAAAGACGTACAGGTACAGCGTGCTCCAGTTCTTTTAAAACCTAGTCCTCAATGATGCGGCTTTTCTGAAGACCAAGACGCAAGCCGCGGGCAATAGAAGCTGTAGAATCTGTTCTCAGCTGTGTGACCCTGCGCAGATTACCTCGGGTCTCTGAGATGCTGTTCCTAGGAGCAATCTTCCCTTAGGGATGTCCAGGCGCCGGGTCTGTGGACCACTTTCCTGCAGCCCTCTCTCGCTGGACCGTGGGGATCCTATCTCTTTTGGAGCGCCCAAAGGCGTAACTCCTGCAGTTGCTGGAACTGCTGGAGCGTGCAGTGACGGTCACACTAGGCATGCGCAACTGGTAGATCGGGCGGCGCGGGCGCTGCAATACTGCCGGTGGCCTGATGCGTCGCTGCGGGGCCGGCGATCCCGGCTCCGAGCTATAGAGCTCCAGCCACTGCTCACCGAGCTGCCTCGCTGCCACCTGTCGCGCCAAGCCTGGGATGAGTTGAATGGCTTTAGTTTTTTGCTTTTATTGTTGTGGTTGTTGTTTGTTTTGTTTTATTTCTTTTTTAAAGCTTTAGGAACTGAGCATGCTTCACTTGGGGATAACTCCGGGGCTCCCTTGGAAAGGCTCCCGCGGTGCTCTCCATACCCAGGTAGGCAGTTCACTCAAATAGACCTAAACTGCTGCCTCTAGGCTGTCAGCTCCGCGAAGTCTAGGGCTGTTTTGTTCCCAGAAGTCACAGGATCTAGCACAGTGCCTGACACCCAGTTTTCCAGGCTTCCAGAGCGGGAATGCCAGAGCCATCAGTAATTACTTAGATCAAGGCTACCTGAAACGTGGTGGGTGACAAGGGCCGTCCTCAGATTGGTGCTGAAGTGTAGGTTCAGAAGGCAAGGAGAGTTCGCACAGGGGTGGTCGTAGCCGTGGTGTTTGTAAAAACTCAGTGAAATCTGCCCCCACCATGGGTTTTAGTATTGTCAGCATAGTTACTTGTGGTTAGGGTTGTAGAGAAGCAGGAACTGGGGGAGGCCTGGGCCTTGGCTGCAGGAAGGTCTAGGTTCATCCCAGACTTCCTCTCACCGGTCATCCGTCCTGCATTCAGAAATTGTCTTGCTTAGCCATTCTTCTGCCTACTGGTCTTTCAAGGACCCTGCAGTTTTAGGAATGGTCCCAGGCACCAGCGAGCCTCCCAAGTTAGTTTTCCTGCTAGCTCCCTTCTGCACCACTGGGCGC